TGGAGGTGCTCATCCTTTTGGCATATAATCGCAGTGATAAGGTTCTTGTTCCTCTACAAATAACCCAATACTTTCATTTGCTTACATATGGAATATAGGCTCTTGATGTTAATCTGCTGAATTGCATTAAATGGCCACAATAACCTATTAAGAATGACAATAAAAAGATAGCATTAAGATACCCCCTCCAATAAGCCACTTCTCCTAACTGTGAAGTAGGATTTTTATGTAAAATATCCTGGCCAGAGAGCCGGCTGAGCTGGGCAGTGCTCCCTGCCAGGCTGTGCGCCTGCCTGGGTCACTGCAAATGTAGCCGGTGCTTACAAAGACATTACCAGCTGCAAATGAAGTTTGGAGCCATTTCCTGCGAAACCCCACTTTTCCCACCTTCCTACCTTGTAACTTAGTGAACTTTATTGAAATTCATCCTGATTTCTGCAGCTTGTGAGAATGCAAGAAAGACATTGCTTAAATTTGTCACAGAAGGAATGGCTTGCGGTGAGACGAGTGCGACTTGGGATGTGGTTTTCACATACAAGGTTCCTCCTCAGTGTTTGGACCTCCGTTTCTTTACACTTGAATCCACTCTCCTCATTCTCAGGAAATTGTGCTTGCAAGACCATGACAGAGTTTGCTGACACCTTTGGGAGTAAATATTACTAAAGAGTGCTAATTGAACAGTAACTTTTCAATTTATGACATGTAAATGGCTTTCTGCAAACACCAGAGAGAACATATTAGTAATAAATTATCGATATGACATTTAGACCGCTTAAATGAAAGCAAAATCTCTGCACTCATGCCAGGTATTTGGGGCTTAAGTTATAAAACAACCCTGAAGTGTGAGCACCACATGAGTAATTTTCTATCCATATCTATTAAAGCTCTAAGAATTGGAAAAGAGTCAGTGTGAACAGTATGTAACCACCTTGCAGCATCAGGAAAGGGCAGCAAAAATAAAGGTGTGGAGTAGCTTCCAAGTGAGGAACTAATAAACAGGGAAGAATTCTTTAGCCTGGAAAAAAAGTGACTGAGGGGAGAAAAGAGAGAGGACAGGGAAAACGTGAATAGGGATGAATTTCCTGAAGCTTTCAATACAAGAATTAGCGAATATAAGCAAGAGACAGATTTAGAATGAACAAAATGAAATAATTCTTCATTTAACTCACACATATGCTATAGAATACTTTGCTACAATTTGATGAGGATCATAGAAGCTTGCTGTGGCCCCCAAAACAAGGCTAATTTGACTGACTAATCGCAAAATGTAAATGCCTGGGAAATAACGAAGGCAAAAATCTGTCAGATGGAAAAAGATGTACCTTTGCACAAAGCCTTTGTCTAAACATCTGATTACTGGCAAAATAAATAATAAAATTATAGCAAACTCTGAGAAATATTTTAATGGATTAGGCCTGGTGAAAGGCTGCTGTGTATGTTACTTGCTCCTGTCTCCCAGTTCTAGCTATTACTGGCAAGAAACTGGAAGAATATGAGTAATTATATACACACTGAGGAAGCTTTGATAGTTTGTTTCTGGGTTTTAACCATGCATTGAAATATTTTCCTATGTTTTTTGTAGGAACCAAATGGGTTTATATTAATTTACTCGTAAGATGTTTTCATTAGGCTCCACTACATAGGCTAGATCAAATGAAAAAGTCTTGGGTACTAGATGGGAGTTGTGACTATATTTCGCTTGATCTGCTAGCACCATATTTGTGTATTTCAGTGTGTGGCTTCTCTTTGTCAGGAGAGATTTTAGTCTGTTGTGTTAATTATCTTTAGTATCTAATGACTGAGGGACACAAGGTAAAGGAAGTATTGACAAGCCTGGTTTTAAGCACTTAGGTTGTGAGCTTTAATATTAAAGGATTGCCAAAAATGGACTTACAGGAAGCTAATGGAGGTTGCTCTTCGTTGAGCGGAGACCGAAGGAAGAGTCTTGGTGTTGCAAGGGCTTTTACAAGGATTAAAAGCAGGACTGTGTTTGCCTGGAAAAAAAATCTTGCTGCAAACCAGGCCTATTTTCTTCAAATGATCTCCAAGGAAACAGCCTCTCCCAAGCCAGGATCTGATTGCCAGTTGCAGGCCTCAGACCATAGCCATTATTGTTTTAACACCCCAGCCTTCCTCTTTATCCCAGCGGGAGCCGAGCTGCATGGGCTGCTCTGTCACTTGACCTTGGTTGGAGATAAAAAGACAGGTTAGCACCCAGCGATCACAAAGACAGAAGGGAAAAGACAGTATTTAGAAAATAAAGGAAGGAGCTCACACTCTATGATTATGGGTAATGTTCTACGCTGTGCTATGTGGGTGGCCAGCTCAGCCGCTTCCTTCCCTGAAACCCAGGCAGCAGCTTGGAGTTTGCCACAGTTTCTCCGTTTTTTAAACTCATCCTAAGGAAAGAAGGAATAAAGAAAGGTGTTGAGAGCTTTTTTTGGGGAAACAAAATAAGTAGTAAATCACAAAGCAGCTACAGCTGCAGGTGAGTCTTAGAACTTCATTTATGCCTTTGCTGCAACATTAGGGCAAGAAAAAGAAGGGTCCCATCGCTAACTTAAGTTAAACCTTAAGCCTTCAGTTGTGCTGTCTCTTGCACTGCCTGCAAAGCATTCAGTTTCCCAGACCTTGTGAAGTGATTATGTTAGCAGACGTAGAAGAAGCCAGAGCGACAAGCAATATTTTCCTAGAAGAAGAAATGTGAATTTGTCTTGTGTGAAGCTGTGCGATCTGTTTATAGCCATGCAGCACTCTGTGATAGGTCCCCCTCTGGAGGTTCATGGGGTCTAACCACAGGCAACCTCAACTGCTTTGAAAGCAAGATCCTTCCCTATCCCATCCACGGCACCTGGATATAAGTCCCTAACTTAGGTGGTTAGAATAACCCCTTGAGAGCGATCCGTGACGTTCATCGTGCTATCTGAGTGGGATTCCCCAGGGAAATAGCCTACGCCTGGTGTTATTCATTAATATGTGAGGTGAGGAATAGGAATTATGTGTCTTAAATTCACAGACAGTAGTAAACTGAGAGAAGTCCAAGGACGAGAGAGGACAGGAGTAGAAATCCAAGAGATGTTGAGAAATTGGAGGAGCAGAAAGAACACAATTCACCAAGAACAAAATCAGAGAGGAACAATCAGCTGCATCTAACAGGAAGTAAGGGAGCCACAGTTCCATCGAAGAGAGTTGGGAATGGAGTGGCACAGCTGAAAACAAGTCAATGAAGGCAGTAATAAAGCCACAAGGTATAAAAAGGTGGAGGTCTGGAATGCTGCCTCTAATTCCAGGTGCTGCCTTTAAAAAACAATAGACAGTTGGACACAGATGACCATGAATGATGGTCAGAGACCTGTTAGACCTGTGAGGAATGCAAGAAGGCACTGAAAAAGAGTAAATCTGAGCAAGGCATACAGCTGCCTTCAGTTGTGGGAAACAATACCTTTAAGGGAACAGAAAAGCACTGGTCCTCCATGCCCACTGGGAAGAGGAGAAGAGTAATTGTTTAAAATCGTTGGCAAAGAGCATCTAGTTTAGCCATTAGGAAGATGCATAAAAGCAGGTAAATACTGTAACTGTGGCCTTTACAAAGAGGCTAGGTTGATTTATCTCGGGAATTATATGAGTTTATTTGATCCAGTTATTTGGCATCAGAGCTGTCTTGGGGTTTCTCTGGGCCCATTTTGCTTTGCTTCTCTGGGCTTTCCTTGCAGACGGGCCTATAGGCTCGAGATCATCAGCAGAAAGGCCTTATGTGCCTTGGGATGCTGAGAAGGAAAGGGGCAGTGATTAGACCTTGAGCATCTAATAACGCAAAACTGTGTAAATAAGAGACCAGGGGGATTCTGCTGTGCTCAGCCACAGGGGCTCGGGCTGGCAGGAGAGCGGGGCACGGCAGCTCTCAGTAGCTGCTCTCAGAACCAGACTGAAGCGCCGGCGTCAGGCGCTCCCAGGCAGGTCGCGGTGAGGCCAAGCGGGCAATACTCGTCCTTTGGATGTCCTGAGCCACCACCTCGTTTGGAATAAAACAAAACACAAATAATGCTAGTTTGCTGCTTCTGTGATTTCATAAAAAAAAATAAGCAAAATACAGTAGAAACATTTTTTTTTCATCGCAGACCATATGACATTAATAATGCCATTAAAATAAATACCTGGGATTTTGATTGCTGATAGCTTCCCACATAAGCGTGAACAGAAGATGTGATTTCTGTGATCAGAAAGTTTCCAGACACATAGTACTGTGTCGTTCTTCACACATCTTCACTTTCCTCTCTCTTTAGGATATAAGCTCTTCAGAATAAGGGCCCTCAGGGTGCTCTGATCACAATTAGAAGCTTTTAGGATTATTACAGCACATGTCAGAGTAGAGGGAGGAATTGCAGCTCACTGGGCTCTAGTTACATAGGGCATCTGCAGCTTTTATTTCATTTTGCCTTGTTTTAAACAGTTCCTCAAAAATATCTGGGATTGTGATTGACCTGGGAACACAGCGGTCCCTCCTGCAGTGCCCAGGCAGCAGGACTGATGTTTTATCAGTGGGGGGAATTGGTGCTGGGGATGAGGTGCAATTTGCAACATTCCAAATCCTAATGACTTTTTTTCAGATGTTTTTATACATATCAAAATACACTGCACACCTGGCATCTTTGGACTCATTGAGATCCAAACCAAGGATTAAGCTGCTCAGGCCTGTAGCCATGTGAGCTACAAGCTTCAAACTGAAAGTCATTTACCTGCACGTACCTCAGAAGTGCTTGAGCTTCCCAGCAGAGACCAAGAATTAGTTGGCACGGTGTGTTTAGAAGGCATTTTTTCCTCATCATTTTGCCTTCTGTGAATTGCAGTGCTCAAGCATGACCAAAAACCGCAAAAACCCGAAGGATCAAACGGGCGTTAACCTGGTGAGAACATCCCGCCACAGCTAGAGGGTTCTGCTGCAGCTCCCTGCTGGAAAACAAACTGACCTTCCTTGTGCTTTTTCCCTGCCGCCGCTGCAGACTCTGACGGCCCCGGCTCCGTTTGCGGACGAGACCAGCTGCCAGTGCCAGGCGCCCCACGAGAAGCTCACGGTGGCGCAGGCCCGCCTGGGCACCCCAGGTAGGCCGGGGCGGCCGCTGCACGGCGGGCACAGCGCCTCTCCCTTGCTAGGGGAGCAAGGGGCAGCAGCTGCGCTTGGAGGGCCACGGGCTCGTGGATGTTGGAGGGCCATGGACTCATGGATACTTGCAGGCCTGCGGGGGGAAGCCTTGCCTGCCCCGTTCCAGGCAGCCACAAAGTCCTGCTGTCTATGGGCGACCTCCTGACTCCTTTGCACACACTGCCTCTGCACCCTGGGAAGCTTTTTCCTTTGCTCGGATCTTTACGGACCACAACAAACCATAGGTGACCTTAAAGGCTTTGCAAAGCGTGCCCGATTTTTGAACTCTTTACCTAGATGTTTTTTCCAAGCCTACCTCTGTCACTGGGCTGGAGAGGCAAAACAAGCTCACTGAAAGTAGTCCCAAATATATTTGAACTCCTGCCCCCAATTTCTGAGAGATGTTTTTTAAGAAAAAAAAAAAAGCCTCATGAGCTTATTTCATATATTTTAAGTAAGCTTTTAAAATATACCCATTTTACAGGGATAAGACCCAGTTTTCGGGTCTTTCTCCTGTTCCAGTTTCCTAGTCAGCTTTGCGAGGAACATTTCCCCCCTGTTTCTGTGGCCCTTGGGTGCTGTGGCAGCCAGCTCTTCTCTGTGCAGCACAGCAGCTCAGCTGATGGAGGCTGGAGCTCGGCTGCTGCTTCTCTCACGGCCTTTTGCTCGGAGCTACCTCCTCTGCAGCGCAGCTGCCAGGCCGGTGCTGGATGAAGCAGCTCCTCTTTTCTCTCAGAGGGACACTGGGCACTGCCAAAGAGGTCACAGAGAAACAAACATTATAAGGGTGCTAGCAGGAGGACGGTGGGGAGAATAAATGGTAGGATCACTAGAGAGTAGAGGTTGCTGGAAGTGTGAAAAATGGGGGGTGAAAGCTTTGTGTGGAAGAGGCAAGCAGTGCGGTTTTACAGTGGCAAAACATGGGGAAAAGAAGGGAGAGGGGAAGGAAAAGTGAAGAGGGAGGAAAGTAAGGAAAGAAATTCAAAAACCATCTTGAAGGCAGGACAGGCTAGAAAGAGAGGGAAGAACAAGACATATGGTAGAACTCTGAATGAGGCAGGGTGACATTTTTGCTAAATTAGAATACAGGGATGATGGATGATAATAATAGGCTGAGTCTGGGAGGAGAAAGCAGTGAGTACAGAGAAGAACAAGTAATGAGCAGAGTGAAGAACTGCAACTTCTCCTATGGCATATTTCGAAAATCTGAGCTGGGAAAGAAACTCCAGCACCATCTTGTCAGGGAACAAAAACCTGTCCAGCAGAACTACGTGCAGTGGGTTTAGGGGCTGGAAAATCACTGTTGTGTTTCTTTCTCTGCAGTTGACAGACCCGTCAGAGTGTATGCAGATGGGATATTTGACCTCTTCCATTCTGGCCACGCTAGAGCTCTTATGCAAGCTAAAACTCTATTCCCAAATAGCTACTTATTAGTAGGAGGTAAGATCAGAGTTATTTATTGCACTGTATTTTGGCTTCTGTGCTTCAGCAGCAGAGAGCTATTGCGGTCCTCTCACCCCCAGCTGTTTATGCCCTGTGGCTCTGAGTGCTGCTTTCTCTCTGCGGGCTTTCGGCCGGCTATTTGCCTTGAATTACATCTTAGAATTGCATCAATTAAAGTAAAAGTCACATTCTGCCCTCCGCAGCACAGGTACAATTCCCGTGCCGCTCTAAGCAGGTGCCTGCATGACTCTGAGCTTAGAATAGCTCCGTATGAATAATTTACCTTTCTCACTTATTGCTTCAGAAGTGTGCAGAGACGGAGACGAGTGAATGAGATCAAGCGCCCGCTTGCTCGTGGCTCCTGAGCTGCGGCCCGGGCGGCCGCGCGCAGCCCCGGGCGCCGGGAAGGGCTGTGAGGGCCCGCGGTGCCGGGAAGCGCATCCCGCCCGGATGGCATGGACGCCCAGCTGTGGGCAAGGGTGGGAAATGTTTGGCAGCTCACCAGCCTTGCTAGGTGTGTTACCCTCTGCTTTATTCCACGGATATCCTCTGTCCTGCTAGCAGATGGTGGGCAGTTGGAACATGCCAGGCAAGTGACCCGGGAGTGCCTGGCTGGCCATACAAGCCCTGCTCTCCCGACGCCGCCTCCATGCGCGCTCCAGCTGCAGTTTCCCAGTGCCTCTGGATCTGAGAGGTGCCTCTCCTGAGCGTTTCACAGCAAAAGTACCTGCTCACCTGCTTAGGGCGGCGGTGCTGAAGAGGCTGCGTGCAGTGTTCAGACACCTCCTGACGTGCCTTGTTTTGTGTCTTTGTCCCACTTTGGTGAAAAAGCTGGGAAAAAGAAGTAGAACGTAACACACAGGAAAAGCAAAACCTCCTTCTTATAAACACAGTCCTCAGTTTTATCCTTAAGTGAATGAATTATGGCAATTCAAATGTAGCGTCCTGGGAGGGAAAGGAGGAGACAGCCCTTTTTATCAAAGGAATGTTAAGGACTCTATTTTTTTTCTCACTGAGCCAGAGAGCTGGCAGAAGAAGCCAGAGAGAGTGCAAGAATGTGAGGTTTAAAAGCTGAAAGCTCTGGGGGGTTTATTTCCTTTTTAAAGGTTTGGGGGGTAATTGCTACAGGTCCTTGAAGGAACTCTGGGGCAAAAGCCTGGCTGCTTTGAAGTTCATGGGATAATTCTCCTTTCCCCTTTAGTTTCTGGGGGAAGGACAAAGCAGCCAGTTCTTGGCAGCACCTTTTGCCAGCAACACCCTGGGCCTTAGCACGTGTAGAAAGCAAAGGGGCACCTCTCCACACATCCATGTACAGTTTGTGCTGCAAAAGCTCTTCTGTCATGTGCTGTCGTGGGGGCATGTCCCCCCGCCGCCTCTTTTATATCCTGTTACAAAGGATATAATTTGGAGCTTTATTTTTATCTCTTTTTATATTCATGTATATATCTTTCCAAATCAGTCATTAGAGCAAGGTGCCAGAACCAAAAGGAAATACAGACACACTGTTTGTCTGCACTGTTCTTAAATGGTAATCGTAAATGAACTCAAACTTTTCTACAGAGTTTGAGCAAAAACTACTATTTTCTGCTAATTTTGGTAGAGATTTTCTTCCAGGAAAGCTCAGCTTTAAGGTGGCCTAAAGAGTTTTAAGTAAATAAAAATACAATAAGTTAATAAAAATACAATCTCCGATCTTTCTGCTGAAAATGCCTTGATCTCCATTAAATTCCTCGTCAGGAGACATCAAAATGACATACTAGGATGAGAGTGGCATTTTACCAGCTGAAGTACATAGGCATATGAATTTGTGGCTTTGCATTTCACACAAACTCCAGACCAGACTGAGCCCTCCTACATTTTTATCCACTTTAAAGATCTTCAATGGCCATTACCGCAAGAATGTGCGTTTTGGGTCTCACCAGGACTGCCTCTCCCCAGAGCCCGGCCTGATGGGCTGATGTGTTCAAGTCAGAAGGCTGCATGAGCAGTGGGGCTGCTCCCTCACTTCCAGGCAGCACTGTCAGTGGTGGCTTTAATTTGCCAGGGACATTTGCTGCTTGTCCAGGTCTCTGCCAAGTGAGAGCCAGAGGCCCACACAGGCTTCCCCTGTGGGGAAGGACAGCACCAGTCAGCCCAGCTAGGAAGGGTCTCAAATTAGACTGGGTAGGGAGGTGAAGGGTGTTCGTAGCTCTCTCTCTGCACAGAGATACAGTCAAGGGGACAGGCCACTCTGCATTTACCTATGGAATATTATAAGGGTAGAGAAATAATGCCAATTTTTATAGTCAAAATATTGTCACATGCAGATTAAAGGTGCAGGATTTCTGAACTGTTAAGGCTTTGCTCTTGCAACTAAATCATACGGTTTCTCACAGTCCTTCTTTTCTAACAGTGCTTATTTTGTGAGAAGCTGGTTTGCTGTAATTCGGAGCTGTGCTGGTAAATTAGCCATGTCTATTAATCACGAGAAAACCCCTTTTTAATCAGGAGGGAGCTCAGACACCGGCACAGATTGCCCGGAGAGGCTGCGGAGCCTCTGTCCTTGGAGATGCTCCAGATCCAAGCGGCCACAGCGCTGAGCCGCCGGCTCCGGGCAGGGCTGGGCCTAGCTGCTCCGCAGAGCTGCTTCCCGCCTCAGCTGGCCTGTGGCACGCTGGCTTTGTGAGCGCTCCTCGGCGGCGACAGCTCTCCACTCTGCTTGCTTTTAAAACACTCTCTTCCCCCTGGAAATCTCGCAGCCCCTGGAATCTCCGCTTGCAGTAGGTTGAGACCCCTCGCGCCCGGTGCCGTTCGAGATGGGGGCTCTCACCTGCGCTCTGGCTGCAGCCCCGGGAGGCGGGGGGTCTCTCTTAGGCCCAGCACTAGGCCTGCGGAGCCTGTGCAGGCTCCAGATGCCCTGGAGTGCCCCACAAGGGCACTGAGTGCTTGAGGGGATCACCAAGGCTTTATTAGCTGTTGCTCATGCTGCTTGTGCTGGATGTAGAGCCGTTCTGTTGACACTTCCCTGTTCTAGTTTGCAGCGATGATTTAACTCATAAATTCAAAGGCTTCACTGTGATGAATGAAACGGAGCGGTACGAAGCCCTCAGACACTGTCGCTATGTAGACGAGGTCATCAGGGATGCGCCCTGGACGCTGACACCCGAGTTCCTTGAAAAGCACAAGGTACGTTCCCCCTCCGGCCCCTTGCATTCCCTCTGTACACGGATGGTTACGGATACACAGCCAGCATGTGAGATTCTGGAGTTCGGTTAATTCCAGCCACTGCAATTAGGTATGTTGCATTGCTTGCCCTTGTCAGAAGATGATGGTTTTGTGAGGAGATGTTCTACTTTTCTTGCCTTTTTTTTTTTTTAATTATTATTCTCAGTCTGCTGGCATGATTTCTGTAGTGGAATTTTTGAACAGCAAAAATAACACTGAAGAATTACCCATATATTACAAGTGCAGGAAGGGAGCTCATGAACCAGGAATTCCATAATGTAATGACTGAAGTCCTGTAAAGACCTGAGGCAAAGGCACATTTCTTTTGAATTGCAACATGTGCAATAATTGGCCAGATGTATATAAAAAAATGGCAGCAGCTGAAATGTATGTAACTATTCTGAGATGCTATTGACTGTCTTACAAGCATGTAGAATTTATTTTAGTGTCCACATCCCTGGGTGATGAATGTACAGCAAGACAGTTGCTGGGAACGCTTGTGCAGGCACCCACACCCGGGGAAGCAGCATCATAATCCCGTCTGTGCAGGTTTTAAAGTTGCCTCTTTGCTACTTAAGTACTCTTCCAGTAGCAATAGGGGAATCAGGGCTTGAATTTTCTATAGACCATCTCCCAGCGATTGCCAGGGCCATGTGTTAACATCAGTGCTTCTGGACACGAGTTTTCTCATCTTTCAGCCTGCCCGTAGAGCGTAACGGTTGTAGGCCTGGATCAGGTGCAGTATTGTAGGATGAGATGCAGTCAAGAAAAGATAGGATCCTCCTAAACAAAAAAACCCCTCTGAATCAGAATTTAGTGATGGTAGTAGCCTGTGATTCTTGTGTTTGCTTGCAGATTGACTTTGTAGCCCATGATGATATCCCGTACTCCTCCGCTGGCTCGGATGATGTGTACAAACATATAAAAGAGGCAGGTAAGGAGGCCTTGAACTCTGCTATTGCCTTTTGATTACAACCGCCGGGAGAGGAGCAATAGAAAGAATGTCCCATTCTCTACCCTACTGGTAGTTATCACTAGCTCAGGCAGAAGGGTTCCCTTTGTAGAACCACAAAGGATCTGCTGGGAATTCCCACCACAACCCTCACAAAACCACTCAAGTAAGTCATGAGAGCCTCCTCTGGCTTTATTAGCAGCAGCAGGGCCCTCCACCAGCAGGTCTGAGCCAAGGAAATTAGGAGCCCACCGCAGCCCGGCAAGCTCGGGTGGCTTGTTGGTCGTGACAGAGGGACTGCCCCGGGAAGCCACCACACTTCCCTGTGGGGGAAGGTCACAGGGAGCCCCCTGGAGCCCCAGCCTCCGCCTCTGGTTTGCCCTGGGGCTGCTTTTTGCCACACTGGCCGAGGATTTATGTCACCGTGACAGAAATCAGCGTGGCACCAGTGGTGAGATGTTTGGTTCGTTACCCATGTCACATGGGACATGAGCAGGCGTTGTTGGGAGTCTGTCCCTCTCCCGCTTGTGAGCGCTGAACTAAAAGCAAAGAGCACAACCTAATGCCACTGTTGGCCAGAAGCAGCTCCCCAAACACGCTGAGCAGTGAGGAGGAGCCTGGGATCAAAGCTTCTCTTGCACTGCTTGCTAGAGGGGCTGCTTTGAACAGCAGAGGGTCTGTCTTGGACCTGGTCTGCACAAATGTGTATTGGAGGCTTAAAAAGCAGCCCAGAGAAGATCTGCCTCAGGGCAGTCTGTAGTGGGCATGGATGTTCTCAGGCTGGACTGTGGCACTGAGGGGTTTTTATGTCTGAAAGAAGGATAAAGTAGTGACATTATTTGTGAAATATAGTGGCTCACCTAATTTGTGAAGAGTTTTGAGATCTAGAGATGAGGTTCAAACACTCCCGAACTGAGTTACTGCTGTCATGAATTTCTCCTTTCTCTTGGGGTATTTTGTTCTAAATAGACCGATGCTGCGGGTGCAGCTGTGCACATTCCTCCCTTTTCTTAGTTACAGTGCTCCCTTTTCTATTTTCCTGCCTAGAGATGTTGGGGATTTTGTTCATGGATTCCTGTAGCTTCTATATAAAGGCTTCTGACTTAAAGTAGGGTTTACTGCTTCCCAAAATAGTTTCCTGAGTGACTGCTGCAAGCCTGAAAAGCGTGAGCAAGGAAACCTCCCTGCTTGTGATTAGAAGGATCTATTTTTAGCAGAGCATTAATTAGAGCTAATAAGGAGAAAACTGCCACACATCGTTCCCTCAGAGGAGACTGCTGAGCTGCCTGCTCCTTCCCCCGCTCTCTCTAGCCCCGTGCAATCGGCCGGCAGGGCTGCCTGCTTCAGGGACAGCCCTGTTCACACAGAGCACTGTGTTTTTTGCAAAACCATTGCCAGGCTCATCACACAGCTCCCCTTCTCCCCCAGCACGGCCTGGCTGCTCCCAGCTGGCTCTGCTGGGAGCGGGCGGTTTGCACCTGCAGGTGCCTCGTGGCTTTGGCCAGCACGAGATGTTGGCCTGGTTTGTTAGTGGAACAGGGACTGGAAGAGGATGCAACAGCAGTGGAGAGGAGCCATCCAGACAAGCAAAAGGCCTTTCAGCAGTGTGTTTGGGAGCCAGAAGAAGAACAAGACAAAAACCCCTTAAATAAGGGCTTGGCTTATGGGAATAACTGTGGAGTGAGCTGTCAGCAAGTGTCAGGTGCAGCCTGCCCGGCTCGGGAAGCCCTGCCAGGCTGGTAACACGGGAACATCACAGCTGGCACCGTGAGGTGGACCAGCATCAGCTGCTTTTTAGCAGAGGAAAAATGAAATGCTTGGCAGCTTTGCTCACACGGGAACAATGGGAAAAAAAAATGGGAACAAGCCAGGGAGAATTCCCAGCCAGGGAGGATTTCAAGCCTCTTACCTTTGATGCGACGTCTTTGTGTACAGGCTCCTTCTGAGCTCCCAGCCGCACAGCTGGGTCCTGCCATGCTTTCTCAGTGGGGTTTCTTCTCTCCCTTTGCTCAGGAATGTTCGTTCCCACACAGAGAACGGAAGGGATCTCGACATCGGACATCATCACACGGATCGTGCGGGATTACGACGTCTATGCCCGGCGCAACCTGCAGCGGGGATACACGGCCAAGGAGCTGAACGTTAGTTTCATAAATGTGAGTGCGCCCGGCGGGGCTCGCTCCGGAAAGGAGGCTCTCAGGAATGCAGCCTCGGAGCGGCGGCTGAGAAAGCCTGGCTCCCTCCTGTTGCTTTCAAAATAGGAGGCAGTGATGAAAAAGTTAGTTTAAAGAAACGGGTGGGTTGAGGGTGGGTTTTACCTAGTGCTAGCAATTAGCAGCTTCATTTCCATCCTGTAATTTGAGGTTTGCAGCAGAGGTTTTGCTCCGTGGTTCTCCTCGAGCTGCAAGTGACTGAGTGTCAAGAAGGAAGTCGAGCCCCAGCCCCAGTGCCCTCAAGCACCGGTCCAAGAACTGGTTCTCTTTTCCTTGTGGGAAGGCAGCACAGATTGAGCCATCCAAGCTCTTTCTTTCCAAAGTACAGAGATAAAAATAACAGAACAAATGGCCCCTAGAAGCCCCTCAAAACACAAGGAAGCTCGTTAGGAAGCCAGTGTCTAAAAGCCACTGAAGAGATCAGGTGTCACCGTGTGCAGCGGGACTGGCAGGGCAACGGTGCCGCTTAAGAGGATGGCTCGGGGAAGGTGGCGGCTCAGACGGAGCAGCTTTCACTTACACCCCTCCAGGAAGGAGTAAAGGTGCAGCAGAAGGGAATGCACCTTCCGCTGCCGTCTGTGGGAAACCCCCTTTACTGAATGGTTCCTTGGGATTGGGTTCCATCACAGAGGACTTCCATTTGGGAACTAGGAAATCCCTTATGGCAAATCCCTTGTGTCATTTTGTGAGCATTTTGTTTGCTTGTTTCTTATTTTAAGGTCTTGCAGATACATCGTAGAACCCAGGGCATAAATACTTATGTCAGTATGCTTCTCTTTTCTACATCTCTCTAGTACAGTTCAGTGCTCTTGGTATTCTTAAAATTTCCTGCTGTAACTATTCCCCCCGTAGGGATCCCATTGCAAACACTCATTAGGTTAAGGCACTCTGGATGCAAACTTCCCATTGGGGTTCCCCAGGGTATTCTGTGGCTGCTCTGAGGTTAAGAAACTGTTGCATAACTTATGTTCCTCCCAAACCAGAGGCACTGATGTATCTGGACATTTGGTTATTTAGCTTATAGTAATTTAAATGTAGAAAGAAATACTGCTTTTCTCCAGAGGCTTTTTGTGTTAAAAAAAAAAAAAAAACCAACATTTTCAAGACAGAAAATAGCTGATTTCTCAAATAGCTAGAGGAAGGTTTAGTTTTAGTTAAAGCAGGTGAGGTTTCTTCAGACTTTATTGATCTTGCTGGGCAAGGACATGTCCCCAGGTCACTCTGAATTTTTGCATCTGCTTTTGCTTTGAAGTGCTGCCTTTTCACCTTTAAAATGTTGTGGAAGTGCCAATTCTGTGAAGCATTTGGCAGTGAAAACAAACTGCTGAAAAATATTGTGGGTATTTTTTAAACTTCTAATTTGCAGCATGTTTGCATTCTGGAGAGTAATCAGGAAAGGGCACGTGAAGCTTTTCCCCACTGATCATCAGTGATCAGCTTCTGGGATGCAGAATGACGGGCTAGATTTGCTAGAGAGGGGGCCAGTACATCAGGCATGTAAATACTCAATATTTAGCTCTCTCTAATTGTATGGCTACATTTTGCTTTTCAATATGGTCTTCGATTATTTTTTTAAAAATACAAAACAACATTTCTGTACATGGCCTGGATGTAGGGCCCAAGCTGTGCTTGTTTTTGTTGTAAAGATCTACAATTGGGCTTTCATCCGTTCTTCTAGAGGAACACGAGCAAGAACAACCCCCAGCCCCAGCTCCTTCCTCAGCAGTAGATGCAACAGGAGCAAAAAGAAACACGTAAGCAGCAAGAGCAGTGGAGCCAGAAGATTGTACTGCTGTATATATCCGATCCAAAGGGCTACTTAAGCTGCTGTATAGAGTGGATAGTTCCACTGTAGCAGCTAGACACGAGCTGCAGGGGAACTATACAGCACATTTTTTAGAAGTAAATTAAAGAGTTAAATATCACAGAAAGTTAGAAGCAGACAGCGAGCTGTGTTTCCACAGAGGTTGTTACATCTTCAGGCAACCCTCCGTGAGCTCTGTGTGCTTTCCTTTGGAGGAGCACAGAAGGGTTTCAAGACAAAGCCCTTTAACCTGAAGCATTTTTGGAGCTTGGCCAGGCTGGGGCTCCCCAACAGCACCATCTCTTTCCATCTCTTCCTTCTTTCCTGTGTCACTCAGCAATTAGGAGCCTGCTCCCTTTCTGTGAGGTTAGTTGGCCACGGGTGCCGGCCTGCGCGCGTCTGGCTGCAGGCAGAGGCTCCCGTGCCCCCAGGGCTGCAGGTGCCGGAGGCCTCCTCCTGCCCCGAGAAATCTGCCCCACGCGGCACTGGGGGCTGGGGGCACTGGGGCCTGGGGGCACTGGGGCCTGGGGGCTCCAGCCCTGGGGGCACTGGGGCCTGGGGGCACCAGCCCTGGGGGCACTGGGGCCTGGGGGCACTGGGGCCTGGGGGCTCCCATCCCTGGGAAGCGCAGGGGAAGCTCCCTGCTGGGCACTACTCAGTTGGAGCTGTTAATTCCTCGTTTGTATCCTAACAAGATTGATCTAGTTTTTAAAAAGTCCAGCCAGCGTGAAAATGTGGAAAGATTCTTGCAGTGGTTAAAACACAGTGGATGATGAGCGTAATTTAAGTTTTTCAACATGTACCTATTTGTATTTCATTACAATATTTTATTTTCAAATATGTGAGAACATTTAGGTAAAGTCATAAGCAATTTAAATATTAATGTATTTTTTATTTTTTTCCTTCCCTGCTTGCAGTGGCTAATTATTACCAGCTCCTTACATCATAATCTCTCTGTTCACACTTTTAAAACAGGAGAAGAAATACCGCTTTCAAAACCAAGTGGACAAAATGAAGGAGAAAGTCAAGAACGTAGAGGAAAAATCAAAAGAATTTGTTAACAAGGTGGAGGAGAAGAGCCATGACCTCATTCAGAAATGGGAAGAAAAGTCCCGGGAATTTATTGGCAACTTTTTAGAGCTGTTTGGACCGGATGGAGCTTGGGTAGGTATTTTGCCATCGCAGGAAATCTGAGTCCTCCTTGTTTCTCCTCTGCAACGCAGAGGAAGAGCAGATTCTTTTGCTGCAGTGCCTGTCTGCCAGCCGGCGCGGTAGCATCCCGCCAGCGCCGCTCGCCGAGCCCGGCAGCACGCGGCCGGGGCTGCAGCGGGAGGGAGGCCTTGCCGCTTCTCTTGCTCCTTGGGGAGGGCTCGCAGGGGTGTGTGGGGCTCGCAGGGGCCTGTGGGGCTCACAGGGGCCTGTGGGGCTCGCAGGGGCGTGTGGGGCTCGCAGGGGCGTGTGGGGCTCGCAGAGGCGTTTGCCAGCGCGACGCTCGGGGGGAGGGAGCTGGGCCGGTGCAGTGCATGCAGCAGCTGCCCCACAGCAGCAGCCAGCGCAGCTCTGGGCTTGCCTCCAGCAGCAGGCAGGAGCTGCACACGCGCAGGGAGAAATTGCGCACTGGCCGTGGCGGGGGGACACGGAAAAGCCGTTTTATTGCTCACTTCTCTCCCTTCTCTGTACTCAGCAATAGTGATAGTTGCCTGTCTTCAAAAAATACCTGTTTGTAATGCCAAAAATGCTGTTACATGTAGAGTAGCCTGCAGAGGAGCCCCAGGTAAACCTGCAGACCTGCTTCACGTTGGAAGCTGCTCTCTGCTCTGTGTGGCCCCCCGGAGCCAGCTTGCCAGCGACCCGGAGCGGGTTGGAGCAGCGCGGCCCCGCGGAGACACCCCAGGGCTCTCCCGGCGAGCCGGGCCGCGGCGGCAGCCGGGGCAGTGCCGCAGGGGCACCGCGGAGTGCCCCGGGAGCGCCGCTCCCGCTCTCCCGCCGCGCTTCCCTCCGCCGCAGCGGCAGCGGAGCAGAGCCCCGCGCGAGCACAGGAGCTCTGCTGTTCGGCAAGGCCCTTGACCGCCTCGCTGGGCCTCGGTCCTTTCGGGCACTCGTTTGCCACGCTGCTGAACCAACCGCGCAACTGCGGAGCAGCCCAAGCTGCCCCTGAGGGCTGCGGATCAGAGCGCGCGTCCTCGTAATCCCCCGCAGCGCTGCCGGCCCGTGCAAAGGGAAAGGGCAGCGCCCGCCGGCAGCGCCCGCCGGCAGCGCCCGCCGGCAGCGCCGCCGCAGCCCTGCAGCACCCGGCGCCACCTTTATACGGGCGCACGCTGCAATAACGCACGCTGCAGTAACAATACCCGCTGCAATGATACCCGCTGCAGTCATACCCGCTGCAGCAACAGTACCCGCTGCAGTAACAATACCCGCTGCAGTAATACCCGCTGCAGTAATAATACCCGCTGCAATAATACACACTGCAGTAATACCCGCTGCAATAATACACACTGCAGTACTACACTGCAGTAATACGTGCTGCAGTAATACCCGTTGCAGTAATACATGCCGCAGTAATACCCGCTGCAGTAATACCCACTGCAGTAATAATGCCCGCTGCAGTAATACCCGCTGCAATAATACACACTGCAACGTGTTGCTGTCCTCGGGGAAGGGAAGGCGCTGACAGGAGGGTCCGGGATGGCCGGACACTTCCAAGCCCGTTCGGAGGGAGCCCGCGGCCAAAGGCGCCGCCCTAGGGCAACTCATGGATCATGGAAACAGGAGGCCGAGGAGCGGAGCTGTGCAGAGGCGGGATGTCGGAGCCTGGGTCCCGTTGCCCTCCTCCGCGCAGCAGACCGGTGACATCTCAGTGTTCCCAAACCGTGTTACAGCACTGCCTGCTCACTTGCTGTTACTGCAGAAAATCTGCTCTGCAAGGGGCTCCGCGCGGGAAGGAGAATGCTCCTGGTTTTCTCTCTGATGGAGCGCTCCTTCCAGTAGGGAAAACTGATGCCAACACAGGGGTGTTTGCTAGGAAAATGTCCAGAAGGGTCCAGCGAAAACAGAAACCTCCTTGCATGGTTATACATATATATATTAAAAAAAAAAAAAAAAAAAAGCTTTGCTGACGGTACGCCGAGGTGCTGGCATTTTCATCATTATTTTTAAATCAGCTTGAGCCTGGCACAGAGTTTTTGTGGGTTTTTCCCCCCAAATAGCAGTAACTTGCTACTAGTGTCACAACTGTTACTAATTCACTGTATCGCTGTGAGCTAGAGCTTGCTTTTAATGTTGACGTTTAAAGCGCAGGAACTGCTGCGGGCATGTGCGCTCCCTGCATCAGCAGTTTGCATCCGTGAATACGCCGTTATTATTTCCCAGATAGTTATCGCAGTACGCTTTAGGCGAGCGTCAGTGCTCTGAAAGGAGGGGCTGGGGGACGCCCCCAAGGCTGCGGTTTCTGGAGAGGCTCGCAGTGCCCCATTGCGAGCCGCGGGGGCGGCACGCTCCGTGGGGCCGCGGCTGGGCAGGCCGGGCCCTGCGCGCGGCCCCGGGGGCTGCTCCCGGGGGCAAACGGCAACAGCGGCCGCTCCTGCGGCCCCAGCTTCCATCCGCCGACAGGGACCAGGCGGGACAGGGTGGGACTTCTTGTGGGAGCTCCCTTCCTGTGGGGCTGCCGGAGCCCTGGCACAGGCTGCCCAGGGAGGCTCTGGAGTCTCCTCCTCCGGAGCTCTTCCCAACCCGCCGGGATGCCGCCCTGTGCCCCATGCTCTGGGTGTCCCTGCTGGAGCAGGGGGCTGGACTGGGTGATCTCTGGAGGTCCTGTGATTCTGTGGGACAAGGCGGGACAAGCTGAGGCTCCCCCGCCCCACAGCAGGGGGGAGCTGGGGGGCTGGCGGCGCCCAGCTCCGGCTAGGCTGTGTTTCAGCCCCGGGGCAGGGCCCTTCCCTTGCCGTTGCCCATGGGGAGCAGTCGGGCGGTGGGGCTTTACCCGGGGGCAGGCTGGCCGTGGGGGGGGTTGGCGCCCCACGTCGCTGCGAGGGGTCCGAGGCTTCCGGAGCCTGGGGCTGGCTCTGTGCCGCAGCCTTGGTCCGCGGTGACCCTCCTCCAGGCAGCAGCCCAGGGGAGCTGCTCACATCCATCAGCGCCCGCCGGCTCCACGTGTGGGGCAGCTGCCCGGGTGCTGCATATGGGCCCGGCTGGAGGGGGGCCGCGGCCGGCAGCGCCTGTGGAGCTGGGGGACTCCCACCCTGCACCGACCCGAGCAGTGTCCCCCAGCCCCACAGCGCAGTGTCAACACGGGGAGAGCAAGCTGAGAAGCACTCTCACCAAAGTCCAAAGGCGGCACAGACTCTCGCCAGAGCGTGTCCCGTCTCCCCAAACCCTGACCAAAGGGCGTCCCGGCCTGGGGGGCCCAGTGGGTCCCAGGCTGGGATGCACTTTGGTTCCCTCAGGACCGAAGCCCCCCAGGGCAGCCCCTTGTGGGGACCCCCGCGCCGCCCCAGCGTCACCGTCTCCCTTTGCTTTCGCAGAAGCAGATGTTCCAGGAGCGAAGCGGGCGGATGCTCCAGGCTTTCTCCCCCCGGCAGAGCCCCACCGGCAGCCCCACGCGAGGCCGCTCGCCCTCCCGCTCTCCGTCTCCTCCTTTTCCCTGGCTCTTCAATAAAGCCTCTCCTCCCTCCTCTCCGAAAGCTGCCTCCGCCTCCCTCAGCAGCATGAGCGAGGGCGACGAGGACGAGAAGTAACGGGAAGATTTATTTTTTAACCGTGGGACAGAAGAACAAGCTGTGGACTCGAGCGCCGGACGGGGAGCGGAGGCGTGAGGAACATCTGGGGCAGCTGGCAGCCAGGAAGGCGCTCGGGGAGACGCTGTCACAGCCGGAGCGGAGCACGGCCCGGAGCGGGGTCTTGGGAAGAGCTCATCCCGATGCCAGCCCGCTTCCCCGTGCCGCTGGGTGCCCCCCGTAGTGCCCGCCGGCCGCGGCACCGGGGCTGCCCCAGAAACATAAAGCTGCGTGCGAGCCCTGGCTGTGTCTCCCTCTTGCTGCTGCCGCGCGGATCTCGGCACCGTGGGGCCAGCACCATGGACGCCTCATCCCTAGGGAGCCTCTCCCTGCGCCGCCTGCCCCATAGAGCCCCTTGCTGCAGCGCTGCCGCACGCAGCCCTTCTCACCCCGGGTGCCATGGGGCCGCCTCTCCTCCCCCGGGAGCAGAGCCCCACACAGCAGGAGGCCGCAGTGGAGCCTGGTCCCCACGGGAGCGCAGCCGCCCCCCTGCCTGAGCCTGGCCTGGCCCTCGGCCCCTCCTTCCAGCACCTGCCATGGGGGCCGAGCAGCCCCACGCGCTTCATTCCCAGCAACTTCCATCCCCCCTTCCCTCCCTCCCTCCCTCAGCGGGGACCACTTCCTCCTCCGGACACCGTGGCCGGGCTCCTCGTGCCGCGGGACAGGGCCGGGCTGGGGAGGCCTTTTCTCCTGGCACAGTTTGTTTCCCAGAGACGACTCCCCTGGGGCAGCTGCAGCAGAGAGAGGAGCCAGGAGCAGGGTGGGCTGCCCCGCTCACGAGGGGGCCCCAGGGCGGCCGCTCCCACCGCCCCAGTGTGGGGCACCCGCTGCTGTGGCCTCGGGGCCAGGACGCTCCTCGTCTTTCTGAGCGTGGCCGAGTGCTCCCGTCAGAGCCACCCTGGCCGTGGGGCAGCGCTGGGCGCCCCTGCCGGCGCTCGTCTCGGCGCACGGGGAGCGCTCCCGAACGGGAGTGTTTTGCCGGGGCCGGGCTCCACAGGCACCTTCGTGGTTCAGTTTCGCAGCGCTCGCTGCTCCGCAGCCCTCGGTGAAGGGGGGCAGCAGAAGGCACCATCAGTGACCTGTACGCAGGAGCTGGAGGAGAACTCGCCCACGCGAACGCTTTAGCCGGGGCCGCTTCCCAGCGCGGCAGGGGCGGCCCGTGACAAAGCCATAGGTCTGCACCAGGCGCCTCCTCGGCCATCCAGGGCACCCGGGAGCCGAGGCCTTTAGCGCCGGTGCAGACACCGCATCCACACCCTGTCTCCAGCAGATCCGAACCTGCTCGGCTCCGGGCGCACGGGGGGCAATTTTGCACGTCTGAGGCATGGTTGGGTTGGACTTTTCTCGAGCGGGGCTTTCGCTCAGCCTGTCGATCAGCCAAACCCCACAGGAACAATAAAGGTCGCACCGCACCACAGGCGCGGCGGCCGCCTCTCCTTCATTTCAGCGCCGCCGGGGCTCCCACGCGCAGGACTGCGCGGGCGCCAGCGCCGCGGCAGACGCGCTGAGCGCCCCACGCTCAGCACCTCTGGCTGGGGGGCCACGCGGGTGCCCCCAAGCCGCCCCACACGTGGCTGCGCCCGGGAGCAGCTTCCCCCTCTGATCAGCTCCCTCCGCTCGGCTCCGCTCCGGCGGCAGCTCCGCGCTCCCGGGCGCTGCGCGCTCACCTTGTCTCCATGCGTCAGGCTGCGAGGCGGAGGCGCTGCCAGGACCCACATCTGCCCCCGCGGCACGAGGGGCCCGTCCAGCATCAGCCACCTCCAGGCCCCCGGGCTCTGCCCAGCACCGCGGGGCTTCCACGGCTTCAGCGCTACTTCCAAGCGGCAGGAAAGGCAGCGCTTCTGCCGCCCTCCCGTTCCGCTTCCGAGAGGCTCCCCCCGGAGCAGCGGCCGCCGCGGTGCTGCTGTTGCCACCTGCTTTGCGGCTGCACCCGAGTTGGGCAAAGCTGCCAGAAAATAACAGCCATGGGGGCCCAGTCCTGACACGGGCCCTGGCCTGGCTCTCCCTCCAGCTACCTCCCTCGGATGCACAAACGGTCCCGCTTGGCTCTTCCTCCTCCCCTCTCCCCCCTCTCCGCTCTGCAAGGCGAGGTTGCTGCTGCAGCCGCTGCCCCGGATCCTGCTCCATGTCCGACTGTCCCGCCTCGGGCGGGCAGCTCACCCAGCAGACGAGGGCTGGGACGTTTCTAATCGCAGAACAAGGACCAACGTCAAAGTCGTTCCGCACAGCGGAGAAACTCCTCAGAGGCACCGAAGCCGCAGCCAAGCCCTCCCTGCTAACGCGAGCTCCCTTACTACAGACGGACGCCCCCGGCGGCAGCGGTGCCCCTGCCCGCCGTGGGGCTGCCCCAGTGGCTCCGTGTCTCAGAGGAACCTCCCCCGGCCGCTATCTCCCCACAAGCCCTTCAGACGCTGCGTACAGGCGCACGCACACGCACACACACAGGTGATGTGAATATATCCTTGGTGTCGTCGACCCACTGGCCATTCTACTCTGTCTTAGTTATTACTCTTCTTTCCAACCTTTTCTGTTACATTTAAAAGCCATCCTGTTGGATCACTATTAACTTTCATCTTCTCTCCCCTGAAATGAAAGGGAGAAGCAACTGGGACTAGCAGCAGTGTGAGCGGATGTCAGTCCTGTCCAGGTAGGGGCAGTAAATCTATTGCAGAATCACGGGATGGTTGAGGTTGGAAGGGACCTCCAGAGACCATCCAGTCCAACCCCCTGCTCCATCCAGCAGGGACACCCAGAGCACGGGGCACAGGGTGGCATCCAGGCGGGTTGGGAAGATCTCCAGAGAAGGAGACTCCACAGCCTCCCTGGGCAGCCTGTGCCAGGGCTCTGGCACCCTCACAGGAAAGAGTTTTTGTCCTCATAGTCAGGCAGAACTTCCTGGGCTTCAGTTTATGGTCATTGCCTCTTATCCCATCACTGAAAAGAGCCTGGCCACGTCCTCTTGACACCATCCCTTAAGGTTCTCACGCACACGGATCAGGTCCCCCCTCAGCCTTCTCTTCTCCAGGCAGCTCTCTCAGCCTCTCCTCATAGCAGGAACGCTGCAGCCCCCTCGTCCCCACTGGACCCTCTAGCAGCTCCACGTCTCTCTTGTACGGGGGAGCCCAGAACAGGACCCAGCATTCCAGCCTGACGAGCTGGGTTGATCTCGCCCAGATTTATCTTCTCCTCTGGAATAATGTGTTTCCCAGACACGCACACATGGATATTTTCTATCCATTCGCCCTTCCCAAGCCCTTCCCGGCACTTGTGCGAGGGGCAGCGTTAGCACCTCAGGCCCTCAGGGCCTCGCAGCTCAGCGCGAGGGGCAGCTGAGGGCCCCACAGCCCCAACCGCAGCACAGCGGAGCGGCTGCGAGCGGAGGGAGCTCCGGTGCTCCCCGGGGCTCCGGCGAAACCCAGGCTCTTTCCTGGCACAGACCGCGCGGGGCCGCAGCAGCTGGGATCACCGGGCAGGCTGCCGCGCCACACGCAGCTTCCCAAACAAAACCCTCAATTCCCCCGCCTCAGGACATATCCGCGGCCAGGTTACGGTTGGACAGGCACCTTTCTCCCGCTCAGACTCTTCTTTCATGTTTTTCTTTCCATCACTCAAAAATGTTTCTCTCCACTTAATTTTTTCTGCTCCCTAAAACATCACGCTCTTGCCCCATTGGGCTCCCCAACACCTCTGCAGCCTTCACACTCAACGCAGCCGTCGATTCTCCTCAACATCCTTCTTTCAGCCGCTGCCCAGGGCTGCGCGCGCTGCCCCAGCAGCGGGATCGGGAAGGCGCCGGCCGCCCAGCCCTCCCGGGCTCCCTCCTCGCGCTCCCGGTCTCCCGCGGCTCCGGCCCCAGCCATCCCCGCCTGCCGCGCATGGAGGCGGGAACGCTCCAGGGAAAGTGCTGTGGGGCGGCACAGGCCCCACGCCACCGCGGTCGCACCTACCTCAACCCCTGCGAAGAGCCTCCTTCAACAAACGGCGGCCTCTTCAGCGCACCGGGGACTTTTGAACCCTCTCCCATCGCCCTCCAATTATATTTTCCCACATTTTTCATTACAAAGGAACAACCAAGGAACCACAAAGCCACCAGCTACCTTGGCAAAAGCAGATGAACTGCAACCCGTTCCTGACTACTGCAAAGGGCCCAGCTTTGGCTAGGCTAGCGCTGCTCTAGCGTAACACAGGCCATCCAGGCCTCCCTCTTTTTCATCTCACAGGTAACGCATGGAAACAGGAGCGGGAATCACTTCACTGTTGCCCACACTTACTATGTTTCACATTCTCACTTTTAAAAATGAAATTGTGAACTTCTAATGGTGTTCTGCTTGTGGCACTGCAATGGAGGATTAAACAGTTTTCTGCTTCAGGAGCTGAAATAAAATATGGAACTGCCTCTTTTTTTCCCTCTTTTTCTTCCTCTTTTTTTTTTTTTTTTTTTCCCCCTCCTCCTTTTCCCCAAATGTGCATGAGCATTTCGGCAAAGCCCAGAGGCCGTTTCAGGGGCTCCCAGTGCCCTCAGGCAAAGGCAGACCTGCGAGGCGCAGGCGCTGCCAGATCCGGCCCCTTTTTCTGCGCCAGCGCCTCCTTTCCAGCCGTTCCCGCTGAGGGGCTGGCACCAAGGCCCCACACCGAGCGCACGGGGACCCCCGGCAAAGCGCGGCAGCCCCACTGCCCGCAACGCCGGCAAGAAGGAAACGCCCGCGGGTCAAACACCCCGGCTGCGTTTTGCCTTCCAGTTTCTGGGAATTCAGGGCAAGCCAGCGTTAAGAACACACGGATAAACTAACATCACACGGAGCAGCGTCAACGAGGCTGGGGCTGAACGAGGCAGCCCGTCCTCACGTGAGGAGCGGCAACGCAACCCTGTGCCCAGCAGGACGGCGGGAATGAGACGCCTGCGGGGCAGCGCTCGGGCATCTCCGGGTTCTCCATCCATCCTATTCAGCTGCTCAACTGTCTCCCAGACCCAGCAGGCGAGGAATTCCTGGGGTACCGGAGCGGCGGCAGCCGCACCAGGCTCCTGCACGGAGCATTTCCGCACGTCACCAGCTGCCCGGAGCTCAGGCCGTAGCCTTCGGCGAGCTGGAAAGCC